TATATATATATATATATATATAATTTTTTTTTTGTGTGTATATATATATATTTATATATACTACTGTTTTACTGTATTTATGCTCGGGCTTCTTTCGCAATTATTAAAATCACAGACCCCAAATTTTGAACAGTAGTATAGATAAACAAAATAGTATAGAATTTTGATATCGTTTATCAGTTATTATTGTTAACTTATCTCATCATTTGCTCTGTTTTTGAAATAATGCATCCTATGCACATAAAAATAAATGCGCCTGACCTAATCATGGTTTAATTATATAGGGCTTGTCAAGTAATTGTTCAGAAAACTCACCAACAATTTGATTATGAAAATGTAGATTTCCACATTCCTCTTGAGGTGCAGTGGGAAAAAAAGGAAGTAATTTAATAGGATAAATTGCTTTTCCTTTCTCTACCTAACAATCAGAGAATCTAAGTGGTAGAGAAGGCGCCTGAGAGCGGTAATTTCTCACGAGATTGTCTTAAAGGGTTCTCTAGCCACTCCCTGATCTTCTGCTGTTGACTCACGTCTGCTATTGGCTGGAACGGTCTCTGTTGTCCTTCAGTAAAGGATTGGATCCATGCTTTTTATACAAAGAAGGTCAATGAAACATGAAACCAGACCCTCCAACCACAGAAAAAAACGCAGGCACTTTCAATACTCTAAACACACTCTGTCTTTCCACCCTTACCTTATTGCATTTATATTGAAGCCTGAGGCAGTCTGCTTTTTTTCATGAGGCAGCAAGGAAATTCTGATTGCAAGGCAGATTACGAGCTGCTCTTGATTTTGCTATGAGATGCCGACTCCTAGTTTTTCTTTTTGCTGGTTATTAAGCAGCAACGATGGACACTGAGCTCCTATTACAGAAAGAAAGTATTAGCTTCACATACATGGAGAGAGCTAGACCTTGGTAAATGTTGCTCTGCTACTAAAAGTTTTTTAGTAGTAGCTGAAAGTTTTTTTTGTAAATGTTTTTGAAAGAAGTCTCTTGTTCACCAAGGCTGCATTTATTTAATCAAAAATACAGTAAAAACAGTAATACTGTAAAATATTACTGCAATTTAAATTAACCATTTTCTATTTCAATATTTTTTAAAATGCCATTTATTCCTGTGATTGCAAAGCTGAATTTTCAGCAGCCATTACTGAAATATTACTTCAGTGTCACATGATTCTTCGGAATTCATTGTAATATGCTGATTGGTTGCTGTAGAAACATGTCATTATCAATGATGAAAACTGCTTAATATTTTGTGGAAACGTATACATTTTTCAGAATTTTTTTGATGAACAAAAATTTTAATTTGAAAAGGTTTTTTTGCAGTTTTATAAATGTCTCTGTCACATTTTTTTCAATTTATTGTGTCTTTGCTGAAAAAAAGTATTAATTTATTTTCCTAAACTTGTGTGTATTTTACTTCATTTGATCTATCTGATTATAAAAAGACCAAGTTTAAATCTTTGCCCTACAAGATGGATTGCAATCTGTTCTGAGATGCATTAAAGTCTATATATCTGGTTGTTCAGCATTGAGTCAACTAATGGCATGAATTTGGCACGGAACCAACCAATGGGTGACAGAGTCAGAGCCTTAGTAGGATGTTTCTGTATATACAACATTATCCTAGTCCAATTTCACCAAAAAAATTAATTGGGCCAAAAAGTCTTGAGCAGTTTATGCAGAAATTCGTTCTGCTCATGTTTTATGAATCAGGCTCAGTGTTTGTAAATCTAATAGTAAATATAGTATTTATGGACTAGTCTATTAGCATAAAAAAAGTTTGCTTGTTTGTGAGCCAGATCACATAGCCCATGTAGCCCAAACTGCCCTACTGTAGGCTAAGAAGCTTCAGTCTGGCCCGTCTTGATGAATGTTTAACAGCTAACAGTGCATTTTGAATATCAATACAGTTGCTGACATATGAGAGAGAACAAGTGATTATTTCAAGCAAGTCTCCATTTGCCTCTAGTTTTGGATGAGGTCTGTTTATGAAGTGCCTCTGGAGTCTCAAAGATTCATGTGGATTTTAGTGTACATTCGTGTTTTTGTGCCTGTGTAAGTATCTTCTTGTGATTACTTTTTGTCAGCCACCAGGCCTCGCATCATTTTACGGAGAGGTCAAACCACCATCACCTCCTGTCGAACATGCTTACTTGCTGTAGGTCTTGTCGTTATTAGTTTTAATGGTTTATTCAAACAGCTGTGTTGAATGAAAGGTCTTTAGGGCCTCTTTTGGAGTTTAAATGTCAGGGAACTCCGTTTGAGCAGAGTACAAAGTCTGCTTTTTGAAGAGATTTCAGGAGCTCAGAGGGCAAGTAATAACAAATTTACATTAAGTTAACTTAAGTGCTTGGGAGACTACCAATGATTCAAACCCCAGATTCACACAAACACACACAGGATGAGATGGAGACGCGGTGACTGGCATGTTGTGCTTGAAGCAGTGCCATACACTCCTGTACTTTGCATGTGTATGAGCAGGATTCAAAATTAACTTTCAAGATGTGAGTCAAACTGTCCTTTTGGTGAAAAAATGCAAATAGTTGGTTTGTATTTATTTATTTATGCTTATTTATGTACTTATTTACAAACTTATTTTGAGTTAATTTCTATTCATTTATTTACACATTTGTTTACTCATTTACTTATTTACTTTGTGTTTATTTATTTATGCTTATTTGTTTTATTACATATTATTTTATCTGTTTATACTTATTTATAATTAGCAATTTACTTATTTACTTTCTTTGTTTTTTATTTACATATTTATTTATTGAATTTTAATTATTTATTTATATTTATATTATACTTGTCCACTTTGTACTTGTATATTAATTTAGTTACATGTTTATTTAAAATTATTTGTTTACTTTATATAATTACTTATATTTATAAGTATTTATTTATTTATTTGTTTTTTTATTAATTTATTTACATATTTGTTTAATTTTGCACTTATTTACTTTATTTTTTATTTTCTTTTATCATTTCTTTTATTATATATTATTGTTATATTATACTTATCCATTTTATACATGCATATATATATACTGTATATATATATATATTTATTTATATATTCATTTATGATTATTTAAATTTCTCTATTTCAGATATTTTTATTTATACACATACAATTTTTGTTGTTGTTTCATTTACTTTTATTTGCAAACATAAAACTTTGTAAAGTTTTATGACTGTTCAGAAATATTTATTTCTTAATTATCTAATTTTTCATTATCTCAGAAATATTTATCTCATTTGCCATTGGCAGGTGTGGCAAAAATTTAATTTTGGACTGTATATGTAAGTATGTACATGTTACAAGAGAGGCTCAGTTGCATTGTTGGAAGTCATAGTTTAGCCAAGTGACTCTGATAAAGTGAAACTCTGCAGTCTTATACATCCAGAGCTGGAGAATTATGACCCTTGTGTAATAATAAGCAATGGAGTCAGATATATAGCCCCTTGCTGAAATTATCAACCCTCTGCTGTGGAAGAATTATGGGCGGTCTCACCTGTCCTCCCCCCTAGTTCATAATCTGTGAGAGAGGGAAGTCAGAGCAGAGGGGACATAGCAGTTTTCAGGAAATAGACCCAAAGCCCGGTCATAGATCCAAACCAAGATGGTATCAGGAAAGACGCATGTTCCTCTCTTATCAGGAGCTCCATTTGTAAACTTAGTCAGCAGATTTAGTATCTACATAGACACCTTCCAAGACAGCATCCTAATAGATCCTCATAAATGACTGATTTTAAACACTCTTCATAGGCAGCAACTCGTGCGCCGCCTCAGAGGAGACTTGTTTAGGTGTTAGCATGTTGCTAAGCTAACAGTATGATATTCAAAGCATAAAAATGAATAATACACAAATATTGGGTACAAAATGTAATTGATAATTACTTTAAACTGTTTTTACCAGTACTTGTCTGTTTTATTGAAATACAAGTTTATTTATAGTCAATATTTCACCATCATCTGTCCACCATCTTGAATTTGTTTGTTGCAGTGCATTCTGGCATTGCCTTTTCTACTTAAGATGCTGCCTTGAAATTTGGCTAAAACGAGGTATCTTAGAAGGCATCTTAATTAACATCTCTATCTTTTGGAACAGCCTTCAAGTCGATGCCTTAAAGTGGAAATGAAGCAGTCAGTCAAGTTTACATTATTTAGTAAAGTGATTTCCACTTTGATTAAAAAATATATAACAAACATGATTAATGTAACCATTTTAAAGAAAAAAGGTTGTTTTATAGTTT